CATCAGTAATTTATGTATTCTTGGCTGGGGTACAATCTTCTGGCTCAAAATTCATTGAGATGTGTAAATAACAATGAAATAGCTGGCATTTCGGCTGATCTAACAAAAGAAGCTAACAGGGAATGCTTTGTTGTTGTTAACCAACATGGCGGTTATGACGTAACATCCACATCAAGTATGGTCTATCAATTTTTTTCCTTTTTCCCACTGGACTAGGTTATCTTTGGTGGTCCTTAATCCATGGTATTGCACCCATGATTTGGTTTTATCCACTAAATGAGCTGGAAATATCAGGATATGAGGCCTTTGTCGCAACTATTTTATCACCTATTGTTACCGGYATTGGTTCTGTGATGGGGTTTTGCCAAAGTCTTCATGGATTAGCTGTACTTCGTTCTTTATCAATGATTGGTATTGCATCCTTCCAAGCCCCATCAACTCTTATTAGACTTATATTGCTTGCATTTGGGTGTGGTGCAGCAATGCTGTGGTTCTGTGGAGTGATTTGGAATAAGAGCTCAAGTGAAAGGTACTGTATACTSCAGCTCAGAGTTAGCCCAGATTTTGCGTAGAATATTCACACATTACAGTGAGGGTCCATGGAATTCCAAAATGGTTGTATTGCTGAATTTGTGCATTCTTTACTTACCATCAGTGGGTCTAAMCCTCAAAATCACACAAAGACTTATAAAGACTCAATAAAAAACCTACATTACATACCATTTTTTCAGAATTTAAAACTTTTTGACGAAAATTTTGTTTCAGATCACTGTCATTCTGGGGCTTAATTCTTGGTTTCTTTCTCATGCTGGCATCAAGAGCATGGTATGTCTCCATCAACCCTGTCTGGGCAGATCCAACCTCCAACAGGTGTCTCCTTCTTCTCGGTATCATAGCTCTTCTAGACAGGGTTTATACAGGTCATATAGCAAATGCTGAGTTGGATGGAAAGCCAGCATTACGAAAAAACAAAGACTCCAAGATTTCTGGTCCTGGTTGGGTTTTGGTTGCCCTCGGGTTTGGTGCTCTGATGTTCCTGACGCATGCAGTATTTGGTGAAGTGTCATTGRTGTGCCGATGGGCTGTTTCTCCTTATCCTGACACAGGGCCACCTCCAAATCCATGGGGGTAAGCCAGCAGTTACATTTACAGTGGAGTCCTGTTATGTCAAACTGGAGGCCACATCCTATAGATTTTCTTCACTACAACCTTACAATACTCTTATTTCAAACCTTTTGAATGGTACCTAGGGGGTTTGAGATAATGGGACTCCATTGCATTTCTTTCAAAAATATATTTGTATTGATTATTTTTAAATTGTAATTGTTCTTTAGAGCTGCAGTAGCTATAGCCTTGGTAACTGGTGTCCTCCTGTCTCCCTTCAAATTTACCTCGTCAATTTTGTGGTGGATTGTGGGATCATCTGGAGCTGCTGCATTATACTATGCTCCTCGTTATGGTTCACTAGCTGGTGGGCTGGTACTTGCTGTGTATGTCATGTCAATTTGGCCATCCATGATAGACAGACTATTTTGTCGCCCTTCAGCCAGAACACTTACCCTAGCCAATGTAATATACATTGTTCTTACTCTTGGATCTGTCTGGGTGGTGGCCTTTAATTTTGTCCCTGGCGGTGAATACACCCGAGAGAGGACAGACATATTAGTAGGCATAACTATGGTGTTCATTGGTGAGTAAAGGCYCCGTTACACGTTGAATCTTTTACTTTGAACTTGTGCCAACTGCGTTGCGAGACAAGTTTCACGGGTCYTACATGGCACAATTTAGGCTTTGTGAAACTTTTGTCGTGAGAAAGTTTCATAAAAAAGTGGAACCGCTTTCTACTGTTCTTAAGGGTTTAATATTCCCAAGTTTTCCTCCCTAGAAAAATCCCAATATCTCAATATTTAAGTTCAATTTGTGAGTTAGCCCTGCCCTGACTCTAATCAGCCCAGAGGTTGTTTTGGAGTTGAAAAATAATAAAAAATAATGGCCAGTTTAGCTTGGCTTTGATGAATGGCTTTGACTTTACACAAACCTAAGCTAACTTTAAATATCACCTTTAACATGACTCTCTAGGTCTTGGCATGTTGACCCAAACTACCCCAGATACAAAGGAACTCTATGGGAAGGCAAAAAAAGAAGATGCGCCCTTGGAAGAGAAGCCATCTCAACAGTCTGAGTCTAGAAACCCTTTCGCATTTGATAATGTTGCCTTCCCCGAAGACAATGGTGACAAGTATCAATTCTTTAATACTCATGTTAAACCAGGTACAGCATGGCTGTTGTTAATTGCTTCCCATGACAATTACCACTGTTTAAATTGCTACACACTGATTGAGACAACAGGAAACAGGCTGTAGACTAACATCGATCGAATACATTTTTTCTTGCAGTTTTATGGCTTCTCTTAATGACAATCATAGGAATTATGCTCATAAGACATAGAAAGCTGRAATATCATACCCCAGTTAAGGTTAGTTATATAGCCGAGCCATCTTTTGGAAAACTTACTTGAAATGTTACCATCAAATTATTTGTTTCATTCTCTAAATGTTGCTTTTTTTAAATAAAAATTTTAGGAGGATCCTCAAGTATTTTCAGCCATGATATGGACTGTACACTTTGGATATGACAACAGGGGTTGGCCAAGCTTTGAAAGAGGTGCCCGACTCATCAACGACACAGGTATACGACAAGAATTGGTTCTTAGGGGGAGGGGTGGGGAGAGGTATGAGGTATGAATCTGTCCCACAGAAACACCAAATCAGATACTTCTCTTTATAACTTATAAGGTACAAACTAGTTTGTAGTGAAGTGTGATTGTCTGGGTGAGGATAGCCTTGAGAAAAACTGTTGTTGGTGGCGACTGACATTTTGGCAACCTGAGCGGAAGTCAGCTTCARAGTCCAGTGAGGAAACAGTGGTACAAACTAACTTACCTATATTTACCTAATTATTTGTACAGGAGCTGATATCCTGGGTTTTCTAGAGAGTGACACTTCTAAACCATACCTTGGTAATCATGACTTAGCTGGATGGTTTGAAGAACGACTAGGAATRCATGCAGACTTTGGACCATCAACGAGAGATCATACATGGGGGTAAGTCTATCTTAACAGTCATATATATATAACTGATATTTTAGGGGCAGYGACAAGGAAGAGGGCTAGGGGTTGCCCCCCACCGCCCTCCCCTCAGCCATTGCTCTGGTTGAGGTAAAAATGGTGCCCACTAAATTCAAGATTGCAAAAAACTTATTTAATATCTTCTGGATTTGGTTTCAGAGCAACACTTTTTTCCAAGTATCCTTTTATCAAGTCACAGCACCATCTTTTACCATCACCAGAAGGTAAGCATATCTCTKAACAATACCTTGATGATCAGAAATATTACATATAGATCCTCTCTCTTTCCTTCCTTGATGATTTGTTCCTTGGTATGTGCTTGTGCTTGTGCTGGTGGGAGGAAAGGACAAAGGAGTCTACTTCCCCAATGAGAAGTTACAGTAGTTTTAAAGGATGGCGTAGTCTATTTTAAAAGACAATATTTAATTTCTCAAAACAAATAAACTACATGTACGCCTGGGGAATGGTTGAACAGTGGTACACCCCTACATGGATCCACCCCATTCTCCAACTCTGTCCCATGTTGTTTATCATCATTATTAAGTAATTGTGTCATTGTGACTTTAGGTGAGCTGGCTCCAGCTMTTAGTGCCACAGTCAACATATCTGGCAGTCTTGTTGATGTTATACTTGTTCACATGGGAAACGACAGGTAATTTTCTCATTCTCATAAACAGGACACTTATAGGAACCATCTCTAGTGCTACAACAACTACTCTTCTTTCTCAGGATCCAATTTTTTAGAGCTTTTTTGGTAACATGTTGATTGGGTATAACATTATGATATATTTTCTACACTTAGGGATGATTTAGATCGAAAGCTACAAGCACAAGAACTAGCACGAATAGCAGATGAAAGGTACGACCTCTAACCTTTAACATATTCTCCTCTGCAGCTGAGGATCTGGGACTGAAACTGATGACAGCTGCAATGGAAACCATGTTTTACCTCAACCCTCGCTTCTAGTCTCGATACATCTACCCTCCTATTTACAATAAATATAATGACCCCCCCCCCCCCATACCTGAATTGTGTCCCTTCCCCTTTTGACCATGTCCTTTTTTCATTCCCATTTTTCTTTCCSTCTTACTTCTAGTCTGAAAAATTGTCCCCTTTACCTACAACAGATACAATGACATCCCCTTAYTTAATAGCCTGAATCCCTGCCCTTGACGATGTCTCTGATTACATGACTTCCCCCAACAATAAAACTGGAATGGTCCCTAATATTTGGAGCTTTTCTTTGATGTATAGTCCAAACCCAGTGGTGTTCCTTGGCTATGTAACGTCTGCACCAGGGAGCCGTGATTACTACACTTTGTTGAAAAAAGGACGAATGAAGGTACAAATTCAATCCTACTTAATTCTATTGGTTTAAAGGTATCCCAGGTATCTACATCTACATGTACTGGGTGAGCGTTGCCTTCACAGATAACAATAGATGATTACTCTTTTTACTTTAAGACTTGAGTTTATTTTGCACAAATATTTACAAGTTTACATTATAAATTATCGAAAACCACTCTTAAAATTAAAGGAAAAAAAGAAGAAAAAAAAAAAACAAATAGAGCTTACATTTGTGAATTAATTTGTGTTTAGTGGCAATTAAAGAAGTTTAAACTTTCGAGTTGGGTGTACATGTAATGTCATTTTTTGAGAATAATTTCTTTGTTTTCTGGAAACACTTAAGAAGCTTTATTTTGAGAATTTATGCGTTTTTATAATTCATGTTTTGATATTTACGAAAGGACATAGACGAATCAGACAGTCAAAGATGGTGTGAGTACATCATGTACCGTGGTTTAACACGGCTCGGTTACGCGAGGATCTCACACGGAGGTCTGAGTGACACGGAAGTACAGATGGCAAAGTTTCGCATCCCTGCTGCAGGAGAAAAGTACAAAGATAATCCCACCCTCGTTACGTCGTCTGTAAAAGTACCAAAGCACTTACAGTTCACGGATAGGTAAGATACTCATACTCGTCAATATAGGACGTTTGCATGATGGCGTCATTGACCTCTACTACCAGACTCCCTTGCRCACTTTCTTTTGTTCAGTTAATTAGCACCAATTGTCTTACTCTTCTCATGAGGGAATACAAATTTGAATAAGAAAGAAAATTCGCGAAGCATTATGGTAGTGGGAGTCAAATGACGCCCGCACCTTTCTAACGTCATATTTCAATAATAAATTGTGATGTCAAAATACGTACATGTAAACGTGAAGTCACCTTACATTGTTTCAGACATACCTCTACGTTTTCCAATAAGCCTTTTCATAGTTTAAGAATCGATTCCACTGCGCATGCGATTTTATCCCGAATTTCTCACCTTCTTTTGTCTAAACCTTCTTTTGTTCTTAATTAAACAAAAGGTGAGAAATTCGGGATAAAATCGCATGCGCAGTGGAATCGATTCTTAAACTATGAAAAGGCTTATAAAACAAATATTGTGCGCTGGGGGGGAAAATCTATATTGTTCCTGTCCAGYAATATTGAGGTCCAGTTGTGTGTCATAAACATCTAACATTGTTTTTACTGAAATAACTCTAAACTCTGCTGCAATCTTGACAGGTTTGGTTCATATTTCGTTGGACATTACACAGGAGAACACCACTATCACATGTCGACGCCTAAATACTTCCTACCATAGTAACAGTTGCCTTGGTAATGGAGATGTCGCCATAGCAACGCAGATCATTCTGGGAATTGACTAAAGGCAATCACCTAAAGTGGCTGGTATTYCTAAGTGAAGTGATGAAGAGACATAAATCCGAGGTCGAAAGAAGAAAGAGTGTTTTCGAAAAACGCCAAGCTCGACTGAGGAACAACGCTGTCATAACAGACTGATATCTTGGAAGAATATGCTTTCAATTCCATGGAAAAGAAATAGGTTTTTCTTCGCGAAAACACTTAAGTCTCGTCCAGTAGTTTCTCCATTATTTTGTAGACATTATTRCACGAGCAATATTCATAGTTTATAGTATTATATCTGCTTGCTTTTTTCTGATTAAAAATTAATAACGAAATAAAGCTTATTTTGATCAAGTGCTAGACATTCAGTTTTGTCCTTCCCCATCTAATGGCTGCTATAGATAAATTAGTGGGCGGTTAGCTCAACCTCATTCTTGGGGTACAAATAAACTATTTAGATAAAGAACAAGCCATCGTCTTCCTTTCAAGTTAGTTACCTTTAAATTTTCCAAACATGGTGGTTGTGACGTCATAAGACCTTATAGTGCGCAGCTTCAGTAAGAAAATTTTCCGATTTTTTTTTTTTTGGGGGGGGGGGGGTTATTTTCGTGCTGAAGACAAATTAGAGTAGTTAGATTTTCTTCTAATTTGAAGTCTGCAAATGATAAGATTTATCTTAGCTGGATGGATCTTTTCATTACAAAAGGTCCCACATGGAAAGGACTGGCCACGTGCCCTAACTAATCAGTAACAGATACGACATATTAGGTTTGCTGGTCATAGCAAGGGGTTAATCATCTACGGTCTAGGGGCCGACTAACCTCTCCCTTAGGCTTTTGCCGAGCTTCCTGATCAGTCTGTAAGTCCTCCCGGGATAGCGGTGTCGGGGTCGAAATCTCTGGCGTAGCCGTAAATGCTTCGCGCTGCCATACGACGCTTAAGCATTCGGGTCTGGGAGTATGGTCTCCGGTTATTCGTAATGAATAATGATAATAAAAATCTCTTCCAGTTAGTGGACTAAATAAAAAACTTTTGGAAACTTTGTTTTCTGCAAATGTCATTGAAACACTGATTGAAGCTAGTAATTTCCTAGTGTGGATTTGTCCGAGAAAAGAAAAGATGTCGTTTCACGTTATCCCTGTTGAATGTCCTCAACAGTCAACTCACTTGGACTGACTTTTGATATTCTGCCAAGTGCCAACGGCTGCAGCTTTGACTGATGGGTTGGCGCACTATCTTGGCTACCTCGTCTGTTGTGGCCCACAAGAATGACAAACAAACTCATTAATAGCTCTAACATTCGTAAACTTGTTTGCGTTCCATACCACGACCAGCCATCAACCCTTYCTCCCATCTCACTGAGGACACCAAGCTGACTAGCAGCAATAAAAATATTGAGAGCAAAGTTAGAAGCACCGAGCAGTGATGCCGCTTGCATTAATAACCGCAGACGCGATAGTCGCTTTGTTTCCGCATCGAAAAATTGGTTGGTGGGATTGTTTGAAGCAATCAAGTTGCTGTGCATTCGTTTACAGGCTAGAACGTACCCGATGCACACTAAGAGACCCCAGGCAGCGGATGTTACTTGACAGATTAGTACCAGAACCTTTGCGGAGGGATAGAAAAGAACTACAGAATCTGACACGACCAGATACCCAATGTTGACCAAAGCTACTGCTAGCAAAAAGGGCAAGTTTTGGAATCGGGGAGGGGCGAGATTAATTCTTGTAGTTTCAAGAAATATCAACAGYATTATAGAGAAAGCTGATGTGAGGCAAGCTTTTGCGATGCCCCAAATTGAGACGCATGCAAAAACTAAAGGTTTGGAGTCATTACCACTAGAGAGATATGGTTCCCAAAATAGGATGATTCCTCGAAATGTTCCGAGAAGAAATAATAGGAAACTCGTTACTATAAAATGAGTTTTSTTCCTTTTACGACCACTGCGACGCCGGAAAAGAGCGATAATTGATGCCAAACTGCAAAGTGCTAAGACAAGAAACGAAGCTCCGAACCCATAAATGTGTGCATACCACATCCATTGCAGTGCTTGCAACGTTTCAACCCAATTTGGTGATGGTTCGACCCAAGCTGGAGGAACTGAAGGCTTACTCGAGAAATTGGTTGCTTTTGACATCTGGCTCGAGCCTTCGTCTTCGACTGCCTCGTTTTCAACTCTGTCTCGGCTTTTTGGTCAAACTTGCCTCTGAAATAATGAGCTGTATTCAGTTGAAAATGTCTTGTTGAGCAGCTTTGTTTT